GTTTTTCTCTGTATATTTTTCCCCATCTCTGCCCCTGCAGCTATTATATATGTAAGGCAAAAGTGTGGCCACCGGCAGCCTAATTGAAAGTTAAGCTTTGGACACAGCAGGGGCTATGCTCATTAATCAATTGCTCTTGTCTTACTGTGCACTCTGATTATCCCTCTCCAGGAGAAGGTCTAAAAATAAGGCCCATAGAAAATCGAAAATCAATCTGTGGCCCATGCTTCTCTTCATATGTATAACTTGCACGGTAATAAACTTCGGTTTGAAGTTTAGCCCTGCTGAGTTTTTTAAAAAATCAGTATTTGTCTCTTTCTGTGCCGAGAGATCAGAGATTTTCTTATGCGGTGTTCTTTTTCGTGCATTGTTCTATACCGGGTGTTGAAGGAAAGATTTGCTTAAAAACAACAACACGTTATCAAGGAAATTGGTCTTTGCAGTCCAGGATTAGGTCTTCAGTAAATAGCCAATTTGTCTAGAAGTAGCCTAAGGCATAGCCTTAGTCTGTGAGCACTTTGGGCTCTTTTGCGTAAATGTTTGCAATGTGTGTAATCCAGGACTGCAAATAACATGCTTAAGAACTTCACATTCTGTCAAAGGCGGTAATACCCATAGGCATCAATAATTTGGCTTCCCTGGATCTTTCTGGTTCTTCTCCCAGTCTTTGGCCCAAGAAAGGCCATGCACAGAGGTTGTGCATCAACAATTGACCCCCTATGGGTCACAGAAAGAGTTCCCAGCACCTGTTGTCCCCTACGCTCTCTGTGCTGATAGTTTAACTCAGCCAATGGCTAGGGAGAGTTCACAAAGTACCTGCGTGTGCTTATGTCACATCCTATATATTGTTGTTGTTGTTTAGTCGTTTAGTCGTGTCTGACTCTTCGTGACCCCATGGACCAGAGCACACCAGGCACTCCTGTCTTCCACTGCCTCCCGCACTTTGGTCAAACTCATGCTGGTAGCTTCAAGAACACTGTCCAACCATCTTGTCCTCTGTCGTCCCCTTTTTGTGCCCTCCATCTTTCCCAACATCAGGGTCTTCTCCAGGGAGTCTTCTCTTCTCATGAGGTGGCCAAAGTATTGGAGCCTCAGCTTCAGGATCTGTCCTTCCAGTGAGCCCTCAGGGCTGATTTCCTTCGGAATGGAGAGGTTTGATCTTCTTGCAGTCCATGGGACTCTCAAGAGTCTCCTCCAGCACCATAATTCAAAAGCATCAGTTCTTTGGCAATCAGCCTTCTTTATGGTCCAGCTCTCACTTCCATACATCACTACTGGGAAAACCATAGCTTTAACTATACTATCCTATATATCCTATATATACCGCACATCCTATATATCATACCCTAATGTAGTGGCTCCTAGAAGCTGTCAGCAAGCAACAGCAGCCACATCCCAGGCTGGCTAAACCAGGTGAGGATAGCCAATGGGTCTCAAACCCTGCATGTGAAGACAGGCTCTTGTGGATTGAGCAGAGAACAGGGTGCTGGAGTAGATTGGCCATTGTATTGATCCTGCAGGCTATTCTTACATTCTCCTCTTGCATACAAAACTGCTTTCTACTGAGATTAGCTCACTATTGTCCACCCGGACTGCCTGCAACTCTTGAAACTCTTGAATAAGGTCTTCTCCACTGCTGCCAACTGAAATCCTTAAAGAGCAAGCAGGGATCTAAGTTCTCTGACTGCCTACATTGCAACGGCTAAAACACCTCCCCTAGCCGTGCATGAATTTATGAAGCATTCCTACAGCATTAACTCGGTCCTTCTGTGTTTAAAAATGTTTCAATTTTCCAAAGTCCTAGCCAGGGATATCTGCAGAGCTATTTTGCTCACGGGGGGCTCAGTGTTATAATAAATCTGCTAAGCCAACTGTACATTCCTTGGGTTTCTGTGAAGAGTGCCCAGCTTACTGGGGATATTGCCTATTCAGCTGCTGACGAAAGTGTCTTCTCAGTGTGCTGGCTCGTGACATCCCAATGTCCACCTCTTCCCCTCCACCCCTTTTGCATAAGAACACAAGAAGGTGCCATTGGCAAAGGTGGACCCTCTCCCAAGCACCCATCCAATGTACTTTGGAGGGTAGTGGGACACAGAGAAGAGTCTCATTGAGCAAATTCAACATGTGGATGACTTCTTTAAGGTTCCCAGCTGTTTAGGCCAGAGATGAGGAGCCTGTGACCCCCAGATATTGCTGGACTACAGCTTCCATCATCCCTGACCATTGGCCATGCTGTTTGGGAGCCCCAACAACATCTAGAGGGCTGCAGGTTTAGGGCTTTCGATGTAAGAACTGGGCACAGAAACAAACTGGAAGCGGAATATGCTAAATGTTCAGTATACCTGAAGGAGCATCTCCACCCCCATTGTTGGTCCAGCTTCGAGGGCCTTCTGGCGGTTCCCTCCCTGCGAGAAGTAAGGTTGTAGGGAACCAGGCAGAGGGCCTTCTCAGTGGTGGCGCCCGCCCTGTGGAACGCCCTCCCACCAGATGTCAAGGAAATAAACAACTATCCGACTTTCAGAAGACGTTTGAAGGCAGCCCTGTTTAGGGAAGTTTTTCATGTTTGATGTTTTATCATGTTTTTAATATTCTGTTGGGAGCCACCCAGAGGGCTGGGGAAACCCAGCCAGATGGGCAGGGTATAAATAATAAATTATTATAATTATAATTATATTCATGTACACCACCTTGAGCTCCTTGGAGAAAATGCACAGATGATATATATATCTGTATAAACAACCCAACCCAACCCCACTAAAATTCAGATTCAAAACCCAGCACTTTGAATTCAGCCCAGAAACTAATTGATGTTTTATTGTATTTTTAATATTCTGTTGGGAGCCACCCAGAGTGGCTGGGGAAACCCAGCCAGATGGGTGGGGTATGAATAAATTATTATCATTATCATTATTATTTATTAAATAGGTGTGATGTGGTCTGAAAGAGGGTCCCATCAGAATTCTAGCTACACTTCTCGAATCATAAGTGCAGAACCTGATTTTGTCCCTGTTTGCAGAGAACATATGCTGACATTTCTGAACACTTTACACAGGCAGCCCCATGTTGCCGGCATGAAACTAAACGCTGGAGGCTGCTATGTTAGGGCAAAGGGGGCACTGCACCCATCAACCTTCATCTCCCACCTGCCTGCCAAATTCCTGACAACCAGCCCAGGCATGTGGCAAAACTGCATGTGGTAGAAGCCCCCTCCCGTGCCTCAGAGTTGCCCTTGTAGAACTCAGCAGGGAGGAAGAGGATGGGGACAAAACTAGAATCAGATGGCTCTGCCGACCGTTGTTTCTGGTGCCAACCACTGTCACACTCCCTGCCAGGGGCATAGCGCCATTTGCCAGCACCTGGGGCAGGCGCTGAGCATGCTCACCTAGCTCTCGCCACCGACGCCACAAAGAGGGTGCTCACACGCTGTGTGGGGACAGGACACAGAGCGCGGAGGACATCCTCCATAATCCCCAACCCTCCCTGCTGGAGCCAGGCAGGGCTGGCATAACGAGGATCTCTATGGGGGCACCAGGTTTGCGCCCCATGCTCTTGGGGCAACGGCTCTCCTGGCACCCCTACACTACTGCTCCCTGCCTTCCCTTACCAGAGCTAATAGGCACCAGCCACCACTGGAAGCAAACCAATCTAGATCTGACCAAATCAGGTGTAAAGGTTGCCACCTGACTTTTTGCAGGGCTGATAAGGCAAGCGAAGCCATGGGCTGATGACATCATGCCACATACTGAGTTTCCCTAGACATCTGGGAGGGGGCTGTGGCGTTTGCTATCCTAGGTGTGTGACATCATACTGGGTTCATAAGGAAAGGGTTGACTAATTGTAAAATGACCAACCAATGGGAACCCAAGGGGCAGAGTTAACTGTGTATAAGGTTTAAGCACAGAGGGGTTTTTGGAGGAGTTAGAGTGGTTGAGAAGACAGTCTGGAGTTAGAGGAGAGAGGGAAGATAAGTCTGTGGGTTGGACTAGTCTGGTGTGAGAGAGTGAGAGAATTTGTTAAGAGGAGTCAGTCAAACAGTTGAGAGAATCAGTCAGAAGGTATTAGGAAGGTATAGGCTGGTAAAGAAACTAAAGTTAAGATACTGACAGGAATATTATCTGAGAAACCATAAACTTGTTAATGTTTGTAAAATAAACTTGTTGGGTTTTTTGTTCACTTTTAACAACTGACTGGACTCAGTGTTTTACCAGAGAGTAATGGGTTGGTGGCAGCAGGGAAGAGAGCACAGTGGTGGCACAGGGATCAATAGACCGTTAAACGTCCGGGGACCCTGTGTGATCGCCACTGGGGCGATTGTGGGGACCAACTACTAGACACAGATATTTTTTAATGCCTGCAATGTCTAGTCCCAGATTTGGGTTTGTTAACGTCTTTTCCTGACGTTTATGTGGAATGTTGCTTTGGAACCCAATGAGAGGATGGCGAGGCAACAGATTATTGGATTCTATATAATCCATGAAGCGACGTGTTCCAGATCAGAAACTTTAGGTTTTCCAACACGTTTTTTATGAGGGAAATTTTTTCATATAACTCATTTGGTAGGAATGCTCTCCATTTCCTGGTAGGTTTTTATGCTTTCCTTTGTTGCTGCTTCACTTATTACACAGTCACTAATGGCAATTGCAGAGATCGGCTTTGTAGATGCTGGCATGACACATGGGTTTTCGTGCCATGGGGAAATCTTCCTATAGAGCAGGGTTTGTGGAAGCAGCCGTTGGAGGGGGAATTCACTCCTGTGCTCGAAAGTCAGGTGCTTTGACCGTAAACTTGAAAATGACCAAGCCAAATGCCACTTTCATGAGGTCTAGTGGTGTGCCCTGCCAAAAAAAGGGTTTGAAATATTAATTCCAAAATAACAAGGTAGCAGATAGGAGCACGCTTGATTTGTTTATCGGGAGCATATACTATAAAAATGGACCAGTAGCCCTACTTAATAGCTTACACAGAACACACTGTAAAAGATGGTTGGTTTTCCCTTCCAGAACATTCCGATCTGATTGCCTCACGGACGCCGTTTCTTTGATGTTGAAGACAGAGACGAGAGGGCTATGGATGTGAAAGAAAGGAAGCCGTATCGTTCTCTGACCAGGCGCCGGGATGCAGAGCGCCGCTACACCAGCTCGTCCGCAGAGAGCGAGGACAGCAAGATACCTCAGAAGTCGTACAGCTCCAGCGAGACTCTGAAGGCTTACGACCAGGACTCCAGGCTGACGTACGGCAACCGGGTGAAAGAAATGGTGCACCAGGAAGTGGACGAGTACTGCCGAACAGGTACGGTTCTTGCACCCTGGTCTCCTTGAAGTTGGGTGGTTGGAGAGGGCGCTCAAAGTTTTTCCCATCTATTCCTGAACATTCCTGGACTGCCTTTCCACCCAAAGGAGCCCAGGGTGGTAAAATTCCAAAATGTGAAAACCTAAAATTTAACATAAAATGGGGGGGAAAGCATATTTATAACCTTGAAACACCATCCAAAAACATTTAGAACGGTAGTTTCCAATTGGTGGTCCACGGACCCCAAGGGGTCTGCATGACCCACCCAGGGGGCACATGGCACTGTCCCAAATTGGGACATTCCATTGGGGGGGGGGGCGTGCTCTCGTGCGAGATTGCAGTTCCCCAAAATGCTCACTTTTTAGTCACCATGATCTCACGGTAGGTCACACACACGGCACTGGGACATGTCAGAGGGTATGGTGGCAAGGACGTGGGTGGCGCTGTGGTCTAAACCATTGAGCCTCTTGGGCTTTGCCGATCAGATGGTTGGCAATTCGAATCCCCGCGACGGGGTGAGCTCCCGTTGCTCTGTCCCAGCTCCTGCCAACCTAGCAGTTCGAAAACACACCAATGCAAGTAGATAAATAGGTACCGCTGCGGTGGGAAGGTAAACGGCATTTCCGTGCGCTCTGGTTTCCGTCACGGTGTCCCGTTGCGCCAGAAGTGGTTTAGTCCTGCTGGCCACATGACCCGGAAAGCGGTCTGTGGACAAACCCTGGCTCTCTTGGCCTGAAAGCGAGATGAGCGCCACAACCCCAGAGTCGCCTTTGACTGGACTTAACCGTCCAGGAGTCCTTTACCTTTTACCTTTATGTTGGCACCATTCACATAACAAAAACTACCAGAGAGACATCAACCTTTTCAAAAGTCAGGGTTCTGCTTTTGAAAAAAAACAGGGGGTCCGCAGAACTTAACTCATTGGGAACCACTGATTTAGAACATCTAGAAACATCTAAAAGCAATGGCATTGGGCTGTGATTCCTGCACTGGAGGTTAGGCAAAATGAGACTGAGTATACATGAAGCAGCGTCTCCACCCCCATTGTTCTGCCCAGACACTGAGGTCCAGCGCCAGGGGCCTCTGGTGGTTCCCTCACTGTGAGAAGCAAAGCTACAGGGAACCAAGCAGGGGGCCTTCTCGGTACTGGCGCCCGCCCTGTGGAACGCCCTCCCATCAGATGTCAAGGAAATAAACTAGTATCTGACTTTTAGAAGACATCTGAAGGCAGCCCTGTTCAGGGAAGTTTTTAATGTGCGACATTTTAATGTATTTTTAATCTTTGATGGAAGCTGGGGTGTGGCTGGGGAAACCCAGCCAGATGGGCAGGCTGCAAATAATAAATAATAATAATAATAATTATTATTATTATTATTATTATTATTATTATTATTATTGAAGAAGGAATTATTTGGCTGAGGAAGTTAGGGATGTGAGAGAACACTGACTAAAAAGGGAAACAGGAGCAGGAATTGCCACTTATAACCATCCCATATCTGGAGCAGAAATCAGTTCAGCAAACCAGCAGAGGCCTTTCCTCCAAACAGGTCTCCCTGGGGCCCAGAATCCTGACACCAAGTTAGCTTCAAATGATAAGAGGGGGAAACCTTGCTGAGCTGATCCCGCAGGTAAACTTCAAGGGCGGTGCAGCTTTCTCTGTTTCATTAGCCCCTCTCCATCCTCTTGCAGCTGCGAGGTGGTGAAATGGGATGGCTGCTTCTCTTGCAAGGAGGCCCAGTGGTGTTATCCGGATTAATTTATCATAGGCTCACTCCTTGTTCTCTCGACCGGCTCTGCAGAATTGGCAGAGCGGCTATCCCCAAGCCTGTCAATGCTGTCAGGAAGCTTAATCTGTCTTAGGTAATTAAAAAAGGTGTGAAGTTCACCCTCAGCTCCTGTTCTCATGCTAGACTACTTGTTTCAAATAATGGCTGGGGGGGTGGGTTGTGTGGTTGCAGGGAGAGTTGCACCAGCCTTTCCTCTACAACCCCCTCCGTGCAATTATTAGCATGTCCTTTGGACCTGGCGCTCCCTGCAACTTCGCCTCTACCTATGGGGAAGTTGATATCAATGGCGCATAGAAAGAGCATAGAGAAAAGGCGTTTCTCTTTTTCTAATAGCCAACTTTAACTGAAGGTTTTCCACCAAAGATACAAAGAAATCATGCCAATTTAAAACAGGAAAACAGGAAAAGGGATGAAGAAAAGGAGATTACAAAGTCCTCTATCACAGTGTTTCCCAAACTTTTTTGGGCAACGGCACACCTGTTTACTGAAAAAAAATCTCACGGCACACCACCATTAAAGCCCCGCCCCGTGATGTCAGCGCGCAGCATCACGCCGGGAGGGACGCAGGAAAGTGAAAGTTTTTTCCCTCCCCCTTGCCGGGGAACCTCCAAGCTTTGGGGGTGGGAGGAGGCAGCAGAGCGAGGGACTGAGGGACGGCGGCAAGTCCCGCCCCCTCGCCAGACTCCCTGCTCGGCTCGGCTCACTAGCCAGGCGGCCAGTGGAGAGAGAGCCGCAATTACCATAAAGCTCCTCTCCCTCCGCTTCGCCAAGCTGTCAAAGCCCGGCAGCAGCAGGCGCAGCCAGACCCCCGCCAGCCAGCCCGCCCGCCCGGCTTCCTCTCCTTTTTTTGCCCGCGGCAGAAGGCTTTGCTCTCCCCCTTCTGCGACCTCCTCGCCAAGCCGAGCGAGCGCGGGCTCCCTAACCCGTGGATTTTAGTAGGGGCAGAGAGCTGCTAGTGCGAGCGCGCCCCCCGCCCATGTTGCGCCCGGTGCGGCCGGCACCCCTGGCACCCCCCACGCTACGCCACTGGCGGCAACTGAGGCGGCGGCGGCTGTTGTGGTGGTGGCGGCGATAGCGGGCGGAGGAGGGGGCGGCGGCGGGGCTTGAGGAGCCGTCGCCGGGAGTTGCTGCTGCTGTTGTTGCTGCTGCTGCCCGGACATGCCGGCCTCCTCCTCCTCCGCTGTCTCGCGCTCCTCCCTTTTGCACGCGCTGCCCCGCCGCTCGGCACCACCACCGCGGAGCCGCCCCCGGCTCGACGCGGATCCTCGCCGCCGCCGCCTCTCACCGCCCGACTCGCCCGCCTCCCTCCCACGGCACACCAGCCAATGTCTGACGGCACAGTAGTGTGCCGCGGAACACCGGTTGGGAAACACTGCTCTATCAAAATTAACTACAGTAATACCTCGGGTTACAGCCGCTTCAGGTTGCATTTTTTCGTGTTGCAGACTGCCAAAACCCGGAAGTACCGGAATGGGTTACTTCCGGGTTTCGGCGGTCGTGCATGCGCAGAAGCACTAAATAGTGCTTACAGATATCCAATGGATTCATGGCAGGGAAAAGAAATTTAAACTTTGGAAACCACAGGAGACAGTGATGGTCATGAACCGAGATGACTTTAAAAGCCGATTGGACAAATTCATGGGGGAAGAGGGCTATCGATGGCTACTAGCCATGGGGGGTGGCTATGTTCCGCCTCCACAATTGGAGGCAGCAATGCTTCTGAATACCGATTGCTGGAAACCACAGGAGTGGGGAGAGTTGCTCTTGTGCTCGGATCCTGTTTGGAAATTTCCCACAGGTGCTGTGAGAGCAGGATGCTGGGCTGGAATGGGCCATTGGCCTGGTCCTGCAGGCTCTTCTTGTGGTGTAGTGGTTAAGAGCGGTAGTCTCGTAATCTGGGGAACCGGGTTCGCTTCCCCGCTCCTCCACATGCAGCTGCTGGGTGACCTTGGGCTAGTCACACTTCTCTGAGGTCTCTCAGCCCCACTCACCTCACAGAGGGTTTGTTGTGGGGGAGGAAGGGAAAGGAGAATGTTAGCCGCTTTGAGACTCCTTAGGGTAGTGATAAAGCCGGATATCAAATCCAAACTCCTCCTCCTCCTCTTCTTCTTCTTCTTCTTAGCTAAGCAAATGCTTCCCTGTAAGGAACAAAAATAACACAGAGAGACACACACACACACAGAATCGCCAGGTTGCTTGTGCTGAGTGGAGCACCCCGGTGCCACCTGTGTTATTGCAAGAGTCCTTCCCTGCTGGGAGCAGGCTTGTGGCGAGGCAGCTCTTCCACAGGTGTGACCTACATAATAACACACCACAAAAGAGTGTAAAAATCATAGCTATTTTTCAAACGGAGGAGTTGAAGGGAGCCGTCGGTTTAAAGGTGGAGCAGCCTGAGCTTGGAAACACGGAGCTACCAGCAAAAGAACGTTTCTGCCTTGCATTTTCTCTTCCCTCTCCATAGCATGGAGCTCAGTGCAAATCATTGCTGTGCATCCTCTCTCCCTCCCTCCCCTCCATTTCACTGCTGATGGGGAGGAGAAATAATAATAATAATAATAATAATAATAATAATAATAATAATAAAGAATTTATATACCGCCCTTTATCAAAAGATCCCAGGGCGATGTACATCATCAAAACACATTATAGAACATCAATGATGAAAACATAGTATAAACATAGTAAAAAGCGTACTGACAGCCTAATAGTAAAATAATCATCATAGTAAAGTGTCTTCACCCCCACACTTTTACAGGCCATAAATTATTCAATAGTCATAGGCCTGAGTAAAGAAGAATGCTTTTGCCTGGTGCAAAAAGCACATTACAGCAGCACCAGGACAAGAGCTGAAGTTAGCCAGAGCAACCTCAAGTGGCCAATAGGATAGTAGCCAAAATGGAGCCACAGTCTATGTCTCCAACTACAAACCTGCCCTCAATACCTTGCTGAGACAACTGAAATCTCCTGCCTCTGCTGCAGGGCTGTTGTCCATGGTCCTGAACTAGTTCTGCAGTCCCTGTCCAAGGTCCTGAACCTAGATGGGCCTTAAACTCAGCTTACGCAGACTCTCTCTATGGAAGAACTTCCCCTCTATCCTCTTAGCCAGGGGTCAGCCAACTTTTTCAGCCGTGGGCCGGTCCACCATCCCTCAGACCATGTGGTAGGCCAGACTATATTTTTCGGGGGGGGGGGGATATGAACGAATCCCTATGCCCCACAAATAACCCAGAGATGCATTTTAAATAAAAGCACACATTCTACTCATGTAAAAACACCAGGCAGGTCCCACAAATAAGCCAAAGATGCATTTTAAATAAAAGGACACATTCTACTCATGTCAAAACACGTTGACCATCCGTGGGCCAGATTGAGAAGGCGATTGGGCCGGATCCGGCCCACGGGCCTTAGGTTGCCTACCCCTGCTCTTAGCTGTTCTGCGCCTAAATAGCTGGAGCTATCTCAAGTGGCTGATAGGATGGTAGCCCAAATGGAGCCAGTGAGATACAGGAACAGGGTATCCACATGCTTGGGGAGTGGGAAGGGTATCAGAAATTTCTTGTTAGAGAAAATAAACTGCACCCCACACAAAAGTCCTAACTGAGACCAGGTGTATGAACATAACTGCAACCAGTGCTTTTTTTCTGGAGAGACGCAGGGGTACGCATACCCCTAAACATTTTGTGAATCTTTGTACTTTTGTCCATTTACTGTCTTTATTTTTCCTGATCCGAACTATAAAATGGTGATTTTCTTGAGTCAAAATGAGAGTACGCCTAAACATTTTTAAAGGGGGGGAGCACTGACTGCACCCCGTCCCCTAATGAACCTGCCCAGGTAATAAGATCCTCACTGAAAGTCCTTCGGTGGGTCTCTTTGCTATAATGTGCCTCACCTGCACAGGGCTCTGCTATCATTTGTGTGCCAAGTTGTGACCTTTTCATTCCTCCAGACTTTATGGTGTTCTTTAACTTTCTGTGGATCATTTGATCGCCCTTCTAAGAAGTTTCCATTGCTTGTCTTTTCCTTTTCCTCTGTACGGTTCTTTTATTTTCTTTAAATAGTTGTGTAAACTTAACAAAGGCAGGGATCATACACCGAGAAGCGGTATAGGGAGGGCTCATATTTGAAATTCCTGGATTGTATGGGGTTGAACTAGATGGCATTTGGGGTCCCTTCCAACTCTACAGTTCTATGATTAATAATAATAATAATAATAATAATAATAATAATAATAATTTATACCCCGCCCATCTGGCTGGGTTTCCCCAGCCACTCTGGGTGGCTTCCCACAGAATATTAAAATACAATAATCTATTAAACATTAAAAGCTTCCCTAAACAGATATCTTCTAAAAGTCTGGTAGTTGTTTTCCTCTTTGACATCTGGTGGGAGGGCATTCCACAGGGCGGGTGCCACCACCAAGAAGGCCCTCAGCCTGGTTCCCTGTAACTTGGCTTCTCGCAGTGAGGGAACCCCAGATTCGATGAACATTGAGGTAAAATCGCAAGCAGTGAGATCCACAGCAGTCTGCTAGGAAGAAGGGGCCTTGTACAATCCTTGGGTGCATATTGTTATACATGGTGTGTACCTTTTACTGCCTTTAATGTATTTTTTAATTGTTGTGACCCACTTGGAACCTAAGAGTCAAGGACGGGTTATAAAATACAGTGGTACCTCAGGTTAAGTACTTAATGGGTTCCCGAAGTCTGTACTTAACCTGAAGCATTCTTAACCTGAAGCGGACTTTCCCATTGAAAGTAATGGAAAGTGGATTGATCTGTTCCAGACAATGAAAAAACACCCCCTAAAACAGCAATTTAACATGAATTTTACTGTTTCACGAGACCATTGATCCATAAAATGAAGACAATAATCGATGTGCTGTACTATAAAATAGACAGTATTTTAGATGGAAAAAAAATAAAATTTATTTCCAAACTCACTGTTCGGAGGGGGCTCAGGGTCCTCTTCCACAATCACAATCGGCTTGGCTCCCTGCATTCGTGGAGGCCTCTGCAGGCACCATGGATGCCAGGGCTTGGCTCCCGACATCCGCAGAGCCGCTCTAGGCACCACAGATGCGGGGGCTAGGCTCCCGGCATTTGCGGAGCCCTGCAGGCACTGCGGATGTCGGGGCTAGGCTCCCGGCATTTGCAGAGCCCTGCAGGCACCGCAGATGTCGGGGCTAGGCTCCCTGCATTCACAGAGCCCTGCAGGCACCGCAGATGTCGGGGCTAGGCTCCCGCCATTCGCGGAGCCGCTCTAGGCACTGCAGATGTTGGGGCTTGGTTCCCGGCGTTCGTGGAGGCCTCAGAGAGCTCCGTAGGCCCCACCAATGTCTGGGTTTGCCTCCAGGCAGCGGCGAGGCCTCTGAGAGCTTGGACAACTTACTTCCGGGTTACAATCATTCGTAACCCAAAAAAACGTAAGTTGAAGCGTTCGTAACCCGAGGTAGCACTGTAATGCTATTACTAAGAGCAACAGCAATAATCCCCAACCTAAATGACAGGATCGTCCTGGCAGTATTTGGGATTAATGAGCTGGAACAAAAGATTAAGAATAGAAGATTTCTGGGTACCCTCTTGCACCCTTGCAATTCTGTTTGACAAAAATAAATAAAGGAGGCAGAGGGGGGAGTGATACGAATTTGATAAATAAATGGGGCTTGTAACAGAATAACTAAATGGTGAAGACAACTTTCCTGAACTTTCCTCTTCCTTTTGAAGAGGCAGGACTGATATTCAAATGTTTATTTATTCTGCCTTGAACCGATTATGTAGCTCTGCAGGTAACTAGAGGCGAATTCAAGAGCCCTTTCTTCCCAGGTAATATTTTTAGCCAGCTAAACAATTACATCTGTTCTGCTGCTGAACGGATTCTGCTGTGACCTTATTGGAGTGGGAAATGTCAAGGGCAGGTGTCTGAGCGGATGACCTTGGGGTTCCAAACAGACTCATTTTGTGTGATACAGAAAGTGTGTTACACACTGGACTTGGAATGATGTTCTGGCATAGTATGATCATAGCCCCGAAGGTGGGCTTTCCCGGGCTGACTTGCCCCCCCCCCCAAATTCCACATCGGGATCTTGAAAGAGAGTCGGCACATGTGCAGCTGTACGCATCCTGCACACATGCGACTATGCACAGCCGAGAACCTTGCAAATTGCAGGTTTCATGATAATGCAGACAGACATTTGTACGTGAGCAAGGTCTGTTCCAACCTTTCGGAGGCTGAAGGACAGACCAGAGGGTGCAAGTACTGCTGCTTCTCCCCACCAACTCAAGTTCAAATCCACGCACACAATTGTGTGGGTGGAATTGGAGACCACAACCATATGACTCACACTGCACACTTATTTTTAAGCCAGCATATCAATTGAATTGGAGTAAGCAAGAGCGTTGTGCTTGGACCAGAGACGCAATGTTCAAATTCTTGTTCAGCTCTCACCCTGGGTTGGAGAACCAGCATGTTGCTGGGATAAAACTCCCATAATCCCTGGCTGTCGGCCATGTTGGCAGGACTGATGAGGTCTGGATTCTGGCAACATATGGTGGGCCACAGGCTCCCCAACCCTGATACATCTCCAATGGAAGGTCCACACAATGTAACATAACATCTGCTGGTAAACGTCTTCATTATCCCTCGTTAGACGGACATCCCACAATGTTCTGCTCTCTTCTTCTTTCCCAACCCTCTCCCCCATTTCTGCCCCAGGAGCCAACTTTTCCTTGCGAGAGCTGGGCCTCGAAGACGTATCACCTCCGCCGCACGGGACTCTGTACCGGACAGATATAGGGCTGCCCCACTGTGGCTACTCCATCAGCGCCGGCTCAGACGCCGACACAGAAGCCGATGCAGTCATGTCTCCGGAGCACCCCGTGAGGCTGTGGGGGCGCAACCCCAAGTCGGGCCGCAGTTCCTGCTTGTCCAGTCGAGCCAACTCCAACCTCACCCTCACCGATACGGAACACGATAACACCGAAACTGGTAAGAGAGACCGCCAGGGAGATACCGGAGCTTCTGTTCTGCTACTTACTCTTCTGTCCATCTGTTTGTCTTCCATCCTGTTGTTTTGTGTCCCAGTCTTGGTTTTTGTCTTCTAGACTTGCAGTGGACAATTATTAGGGTCCTCTGGATGTTGTTAGCCTGCCTCCATCAGCCCCAGCCCATAGAATGGGCCGGCTCAGCCATTAGCCTCTGTGGGGCAGTCGCTTCAGGCTGCAGGCTGGGGACAGCTGGGAGGGGTGTTCACCTCTGGGGAGCACACTGTTTACTACCTTCTGAGCTTGCCGCCCATCAGTGGTGTGTGGTAAAAATTTCCATAGGGGAGCAGTTAGAGCCAGAGGTGCCAGCTTACAAGTGTGATGGGGGCGGGGTTCAATGGTGTGTGTGTGACATTGCACATGTGAGCATAGCGCCTTCTTCCTGTTGGGATGCTGCTAAGAAATTGGGGGCAATTGGCAAGCCCCCAGCTGGCTCCAGCCCACCAGTCGAACTCCAGTCCTTGGTGCAGCATGAATCTGTGACCCAGAGTTTCAGAAGCTGGGCATGCAACTCAGCAGAGTAAATGCACAACAGAAGTGGCAGGGAGAGGCTGTGTGAAGCATATTGACAGGCAGTTTATTTAGCGTACATCAAGACAAAGGAAAAAACATGTCTTCTCCCTTTCTGGTCCAAGCAAGCATCATAAGCAAAAGCTATACACAAATGGAAGTTGCCAGCAAGCTGTGCTGGAATGTAAACAGGCATGTGACACACAACAGTCATGCCTGTCCCTCTTAAGGTGGAACGGAATATTCTAACACTTCCCTAAGCTGGGCAGAAGCTTCCTGGACTTTGGAAAGGAGGTGCTGGGGGGACATTTAGGGGACTAGCCCAGCCCCCCTAGTCCACTGACTGCACCCCACTGTCGCCCATGGTCACTGCCTGGGAAGTGTGAAGCCACCTGTTCCTCTTCAGGTAGCAGCGGAGGAGGATGAAGCGGGACCCTTAAGGAGGAGGAGGCAGGGAGCACCATTTTCTGTTTTGCCTCATGTGGCAAAATGCCTTGGGCAGAATAGTATTATTTTTGTACTTCGCTGGCATGGCCTCTTGTACAAAATGGTTGGCGGCATTGTGATATGAAAAAGGCTCCCGTTTTGCTTGTTGTGGAAAAGCAGCGGTATTTCAGCAGCCCCTGAGCTCTTTGCAGGGCCCATTCAGCCACCCAAACTCCTGCATTTGAAATTTCACCCTATCAAGCCTTTTCTCCTCTCTCTTTCCTCCCGGATTTCCTTATCTCTGGAACTGATATCCTAGCAGATCATTTCCAAGCCTATCTCTGCTGACTCCCACCACTTATGTAAATAACCCCAGCTTCTCTCTCTGTGAGGAGGGAAAAGAAAAGGCGTATTTTTAGAAACTTGTCTTTTACGGAAACTTGAAGGTCACAGGGTGTTTCCCCCTTTTTCTTTCACCTCCTCGGTTTTGTCTCCCCGGCCGCGGAGATGTCTCCCAGTTGCGGGGTTGGCGACGGAATGCACATTTCGAGGTCAACAGTTCTGTGAGGAAGAGTGTGCCGCAGTACGCAATTGCGGCTTGACCACGGCATGTTTAAAGTGGGAAGGAAGGGTGGGCAGATGGGAAGCAGAGCACATCCCAAAGCAGCAGCCTTTGCAAGTGATGTTCGTGCTCCTTTTTACACCTTTAATTGAACTGCTCCATTGCCAGTTTCTTAATATAGAGCAGGCGTCTTGGCCACGGAGGGGAATGGGATTTTGTTCTGAGCGCTCGCATGGAATAAGTGAAGCGGTTCTCTCCCTGCTGCTGCTTTCCACAGTCGGATTGGGTAGCATATGGTGATTTTAAGTAAAACTGGTGGGTTTTTTGGGAGGGTTGCTTTTTGTATATGGAGACATGCAACACTGATTCCTCACATGCTGCCCCTCGTTTTCTGTTTTAATTTCAGTGACTGAGGCCTATTAAGGTTCTGTTCCGTCACAACAAAGATGTCATGTGAGGGTGGGCAAGGGTGTGTTTCAAACAAGCAAACAAACTACTATCTGTGGAACAGGGGTGGGAGACCCTTTTCAGCCAGAGGTCACATTCCCTTCTCAGTGATCTTCTGGGGCCACATGTTATTATGATTATTATTCAGGAAAGTTTGTACTGGTTGATGTCTTACTGTGCTTTTAATCTTTGGCGATCACTCATAGACGAGTAAGATTGTCTTTGATGAACATGGTTTTTAAAGTGAGTCTGTAAGTGACCGTGGAGGCCAATTCTGGATCCACACGTCCTTCCACAGTGGGGACATAAGTTTCTGGGCGGAAGTTGATCACAGTGAGGGTTTGCCAAGTGTGCCTTCCTCTTAGCACATTTCTGCCTTTTGTCCTGAGTTTGAGCATCTTCAAAGCCCATGACACCTTTGGTAAAGGCTGTTCTGCAATTGGAGCACTTGCAGGCCAGTGTTTCCCAATTGTTGCTGTTTATACTACATTTTTTTAAAAAATTGCCTTGAGAGAGCCTTTAAACCTCTTGTTGACCACCAGCATCACGCTTTCCATTTTTAAGTTCGGAATAGAGTAGTTGCTTTGGAAGATGATCATCAGGCATCCTCACAACTTGACCAGTCCAACGAAGTTGATGTTGAAGAAGCATCGCTTCGACACTGGTGATCTTTGCTTCTACCAGTACACTGGCATTAGTTCGCCTAATGTGTTTTTAATATTTTGTTGGGAGCTGCCCAGAGTGGCTGGGGCAACCCAGTCAGATGAGCGGCATATAGCAAATTAAATTATTATTATTATTATTATTATTATTATTATTATTATTATTATTATTAAATATCCTCCATGCAAAGATACTAGTGGTGGACTGGATCCAAAGCAAGAGCGAAACAAGCAGATGAATGAATATGTTATCTTTGCACACAAAACTAATGTCTGCACACACAAACACCCCTCTCTCTCCTCCAATATGGCATGTGAGTCCGAGGATGAATCAAGAAGCAATTCAGAGGTGCTGATCTACAGGTGGGCCAGAGAGGAAGGGATCAGGGAAACAAAAAGGAAACAGAAGCTTCCTCACAGCTAAGGATCCTTACTGCGGATCCCAAGAGCTGCTCACAAAATGACTTTGAGGATTTTACAGGGAAAATGTTTCCTCAGATGTGAAAATTATGCTGAAAGTAAGCTCAAAGCGACTCAAGGAATGAGTGAGCTTACCGGATGCATTTTATCGGTCAATATTAATTGCTGACCGTATTGATAAAACGTATAGCCTTTAGCTGTAGTCAATGCGGAGTTTTATAAAGCTGCCATCAATAGCAGAGTTTATGGGGGCCATTAAAGCCCATTTTTTCTCCCACTGCATGTTAACATCAGCAACTTTTGTTATGTTTCCTTATTAGTTATGCAAAATAAATAATCAGTATTGAATTCTGATGTCTATACACCCAGAGCCTTCTGCATAGTTTTATTGCTTGGTGCTTTGGAAGAGAGTTGTTTCTTAAAGGGAAAGGATGGGATTGGTGTTCCTCTGTTTCACAAAGTCACGGCCCTTCCCATTCGTTTGCAAGCCTTAGGGATGGCTCAAACATGCATGTACGACGCCTGATCACTCAATAGTTGACTGGCAACCAAATGCGGGAACGGATCCCATCAAAAACTCTTCTGTCTGAGGTGTCTTTGGGGTTGAAGTATCTACTCTGGAGGAAGAAAGTCCCAACGGCAATCCTTGGTGTTTCCAAATCCAAAAAACCCGTGAACTAGCAGTTCAAAAGCATGTCAAAGTGCAAGTAGATAAATAGGTACCACTCCGGTGGGAAGGTAAACGGCATTTCCGTGTGCTGCTCTGGTTCGCCAGAAGCGGCTTAGTCATGCTGGCCACATGACCCAGAAGCTGTACGCCGGCTCCCTCGGCCAATAAAGCGAGATGAGCGCCGCAACCCCAGAGTCGGTCACGACTGGACCTAATGGTCAGGGGTCCCTTTACCTTTACCTTACTCATGGAACATAAGACTATCAATGACCATTAATCATGATGGCAGTGTACTACAGTAGACCTGAAACTTACGCAGGAGTTGCGGTCCAGAGGTCCACACAGAAAGGCAAAATTGCATAACGTCAGAAAGACCTCTCTAACTGCCCCCCTGGGCCCATCCCTACCTGTCCATAGCTGATGCAGGGAGAAGGCAAAGATCTCAAGAGCCTCTCAAGGCCTTCCAGATCCCTCCCATGACCTTCCCAGAGGCCAGTAAGCGGAGGGCTTAAAAACCTCATAGGAGGAACGGTTGAGGGAATTTGCAGGTGTTTAGCCTGGGAAAGAGGAGACTGAGAGAAGATAGGTTCTCCACCTCCAAAATCTGAAGGGCTGGAGGATGGCTTGAGTCGGAGGTCCTGACTCAACATCAAGAAGACATTTCTGACAGTCTTCTTCTTCTTCTTTGGCGATCACTTGTAGCCGAGTAAGATTGTCTTCCGTAAACACAGTTTTAACAATGAGTCCGTAAGTGACTGTGGAGGCCAATTCTGGATCCACACGTCCTTCCACAGTGGGGACATTGGTTTCTGGGCTGGAGTTGAACACGGTGTAGATTTGCCAAGCATGCCTTCCTCCTAGCACATTTCTGCCTTGTGTCCTAAGTTCGAGTGACAGTGGAGTGGACTCCCACAAGAGGTGGTAGACTCTCCTTCCTTGAAGGTTTTTAAGCATCTCTCATGTATGATCTAGTTGAGATTCCTGCATGGCAGGGACCCTTAAGATCCCTTCCAGCTCTATACAGTGGTACCTCGTGTAAAGAACTTAATTCATTCTGGAGGTCTGTTCTTAACCTGAAACTGTTCTTAACCTTAGGTACCACTTTAGCTAATGGGGCCTCCCACTACCGCCATGTGGTTTCTGTTCTCATCCTGAAGCAAAGTTCTTAACCCAAGGTACTATTTCTGGGTTAGTGGAGTCTGTAACCTGAAGTGTCTGTAACCCGAGGTACCACTGTAATTCTGTGA